ATATATAACATACTAGATTCTAACATATAGAATTATATGTATAATAAAACACTCAACTTTGTTCACACATATGTTGTTGCATATAATTACTACATATATAACATATATCATATAATGTACATATGATATTCCACAAGATTATATATTCCATAAGATTCTGTCTCCAGGAAATAATCATTTGTATGTATTATACTATATAATATTATATAGTATATATAATAGTTATAGTACTGGAGCTTGAATCCAGGGCTTACACATGCTTAGTATACATCCAGCCTGAATTTTTACCAGTGGACTTACCAAGCTAGGTAAGCTTGACATTTTTTTCTTTTTGCCGGTCATGAGGCTTGAACTCTGGGCTTGGGTGCTGTCCCTGAGAACTTTTCAGCTCAAGGCTAGCGTTCTACCACTTGAGCCACAGTGCCACTTCCAGTTTTCTGCTGGTTAATTGGTGATAACAGTCTCACAGACTTTCCTGCCTGGGCTGGTTTTGAACTTGATTCTCAGATCTCAGCCTTAGCTAGGATTACAGGTTTGAGCCACCAGCGCTGGGTTATTTTTATTTTCTTTAGGTAATTGTACAGAGGAGTTGCCATTCAACAAATCAGTTTATAAGAATAATGCATCTTGATTGATGTGACCCCTTTCATCTTTCTCCTTCCTGAGAAGCTATTTTATATCTAAAAATCAGAATAGCGCTTATGGAAAAGACACAGAATGAGAGGAAAAGGAAAAGCTATTGGAATAATATGGCAGAGTATTGCCGACACGTCTCCAAAAGTAAAACAAAACAGACGCTAGGTTTGAGAAACTTGTGGAATGAGAAATTCATTTGGATGCTGTGCTGTCTAGCATATGTAAAACCGACTTAGAAACTCACAGCCAGGAATAGTATTTAGTAACATGGAGTAAGTATTAGAAGAGAAAGCTAAAAAACAGCAGTAGTTTTCCTGATGGAGAATACCTTCTGCATTGAGGAAGCAAAGCTAAACAGTACATTATCCATGATACCTTATTTTACTTCTATTAAAAATGAAGCTGGAATTGGTGCAATCATGATAAGTATCTCAGATGAATATATGACTTTGAGTTGTCCCATCTGAAAAAATGGAAAGGGATGATAATTTCATAGGGTTTTCATTTACAAGATTAACTATTGGGCTGGGATATATGGTATTAGGCCATGTTCCCAACATTGCAAAGGACAGACAAAATAAACAAGCATGCATTATAGCTAACTAAGCAGTAATTTGGGTTACACTAATAGATTTTTGGGGGGGGGTTGGTTGTGGGGCTTGAACTCTAGGCTTGGGTGCTGTCTCTGTGCTCTTCAGCTCAAGGCAAGCACTCTACCACTTGAGCCACAAAGCCACTTGCGGTTTTCTAGTGGTTTATTGGAGAGATAAGAGTCTCATGGAGTTTCTTGCCTGGGCTGGCTTTGAACCGCGATCCTCAGATCTCAGCCTTCTGAGTTGCTAGGATTACAGGCGTGAGCCACGGGCGCCCAGCTAATGGATATATTTTGAATACTGTACTTGAAAGTGGAGGTCAACACCGGGCTCCTAATAAAACATTGACAAAAAAAGTATTCATCTAGCTGGGTGCTGGTGGCTCACATCTATAATCCTAGCTACTCAGGAGCCTTAGATCTGAGGATCACCGTTCAAAGCCAGACTAGGCAGGAAAGTTTGTAAGACTCTTATCTCCAATAAACCACCAAAAAGTCAGAAGTGGAGCTGTAGCTCAAATGGTAGAGTGCCTTGAGCATAAAAGCTCAGGGATAGCCCTCAAGCCCTGAGTTCAAGCCGTAGTACCAGCACACACATACACACAAATTATTCATGTATTTGCCCACAAAGAAAGCCTCAGTCAATTCAAAAGGGTAGAGTTCAGGCCATTAATTTTTTTTTTTAACCGCAATATGAGTAAAAATTAATAGCGTTTAGAATCAAAGGCCCTCTAGCCTAAACAGTAGAACAAATGCTAGCTGTGAGGGGGAAAAAAATCTGAAAATGTTTCTTTTGTTTGTTTGGTCGGTCATGGGGCCCGAACTCTAGGCCTGGGTGCTGTCCCTCAGCTCTTCAGCTATACCACTTGAGCCACAGTGCCACATCCAGCCTTTTTCTGCCGATGTGGTGCTGAGGAATCGAACCCAGGGCCTCGTGCATGCGAGGCGAGCACTCTACCACTGAGCCACCTTCCCAGCCCTGAAAACATTTCTTTAGATTCAGAAAAGAACTCAAGACCACAAATGGAAATTACTAGAAACCAGTCCCAGGAACATTACTGTGCTGTCTTCTCAAGGTGATTCTTACTTCCTTTTTCACTAACAGAGCACTGATTTTTGTTGAGTATGTCAATGGCCGGTTAAGACTCCCTATTTCCCAACCTTGCTTGTAGCTTGGGGTGGCCCTATGATTAAGTCCTCAGCAACAAGATGTAAAGGATTAAGATACTAGTTCAGGGTGGGTCTGGACTTGCCTCCATGAGTCCTTTGGCATGGGTGATGCTGGATCAGACTGCTGTGTAATCAAAAGGTGTCTAATATATGCTTGGGATAGAGGAGTGGAGAGATAAGAGGGTTCTTAAATACTCTGTGGTCTATTTTAATTCTGGACTTGTTACCTCTGTTGAGGGTAGAAAAATCTTAACTTCAGTTGTATGTTTTAATTTTACTTTTTGGTCCATCATGAGGCTTGAACTCCGGGCCTGGGCGCTGTCCCTGAGCTCTTTTGCTCAAGGAACGCTTTGAGCCGCAGCTCCACTTTGGATTTTCTCATGGTTAATTGGAGATCAGAGTTTCATGGACTTTTCCTTCCCTGGCTGGCTTTGAAACATGATCCTCAGATCTCAGCCTCCCGAGTAGCTAGGATTACAGGCGTGAGCCACTGGTACTGGGTTTAACTTCAGTTTTCAGCTTTGTTAGGAGTTGACTATCATAAGTTGTGTCATTAAACAACAACGTGAATACATGAAACATCCATGAAATTCTATCTTGTTGACTTCAGAACAACAAGGTAAAAAGCAGGAGGAAATGGAATAGCCTTCTTTTTTCTGGGTTTCAGTTACCTGTGGTCAACTGCAGTCTGAAATATCCTATGGAAAATTCCAGAAATAAAGTGTAAGTTTCGAGTGCTGTTCTGAGAAGCATGATGAAATCTCACACCACCCAGCTGAGGGTGCAAATCATGCACCCCTTTATCCAGTGTGCCCACGCTGTAGGCTCCACCCACCACCAGCTACCTAGCAGCCATCCAGCCTAGCAAGTTGGCTATTAAGGCATGGCAGAGCTGGTATTCAAGTACTTTATTTAACAATGCTTCTAAGAAGTACAAGGCTAGTGATGTTGGTGAGTGTGTGTGTGTGTGTGTGTGTGTGTGTGTGCATGCGTGCATGTGCCAATCCTGGGGCTTGAACTCAGGGTCTGAGCCCTGTCCCTGAACTTTTTCTTTTGTCAGTTGTGGGACTTGAACTTTGGGCTTGGGCGCTTTCTCTGAGCTCTTCAGCTGAAGGCGAGTGCTCTACTGCTTGAGCCGCAGCAGCACTTCCTGAACTTTTTTTTAAAAAACTCAAGGTTATTGCTCTGCTTCTTGAGCCACAGGTCCACATCTGGCTTCTTGCTGGCTAATTGCAGATCAGAGTCTCATGGATTTTTCTTCTGGGTAGGATTTTAACCGAGATTCTCAGATCTCAGTCTCCTTTGAGTAGTTAGGATTACAGGCGTGAGCCACCAGCACCTGGCTCATCTTTTTTTAAATAACCATTTTTCATATGAATATACTACTTGACCTCTTTTTTTGTTAAGAAAAGGTTGAAAAAAATTAAAAAAATTACTGTCCTTGTTCGCTTTATACAGTTGATTGCTAAGAAGTAAAACTGAAATCCTGCATTCAAATAGTGTTGAAGACATCTGAGCAAGTTTGTGTGTAAATAAATAAATAAGAGGTAGGAAAGAGAAAAGAAAAAACCCCACTAAACCTTGGAGCTCTTAACTATCTGTATGGAAAAGTACCTTGTTCCCAAATGCTGGTATGCAGAACATCCTATTGGTTAAAAATAAATAGTATTAAGCAAGGAAACCAACCTAGTGTTGAACTAGAAACAGAAGAGCCCAACTGTGCATGCCAAGACATCAGATCTATACAGTAGTGACTGCCCTTAGGCTGGGCTTCTGCTCAGGGCTGTCAAGCTCAAAGGCACCCAGCATGGGTCAAGGTTAGTGCTGGGGTCAGGGGAGGGCAGCTGGTCAGCTTTTGGTTCTGTAGTGCCTGCTTTATAAAGTCGCAAGTTTTCTTTTTTCTTTTTCTCTTTTAAGTCGTGGGCTTGAACACTGGGCCTGGGCACCATTCCTAAACTCTTGCTCAGGCTAGCACTCTACCACTTTGAACCACACCTTCACTTCAGGTTTTCTGGTAATTTGTTAAAGGTAAGAGTCTCACAGACGCTGGGCGCTGGTGGCTCACGCCTGTAATCCTAGCTACTCAAGAGGCTGAGATCTGACGATCGCGGTTCAAAGCCAGCCTGGGCAGGAGAGACCGTGAGACTCCTATCTCCAATAAACCACCAGAAAACCGGAAGTGGCGCTGTAGCTCAAGTGGTAGAGCACTCACTTTGAGCTGAAGAGCTGAGGGACAGCGCCCAGGCCCAGAGTTCAAGCCCCACGACCGACAAAAAAAGAGTCTCACAGACTTTCCTGCCCAGGCTGACTTTGAACCGTGATCCTCAGATCTCAACCTTCTGAGCAGCTTGGATTACCGGCATATACCACCACTCGTGCCTGGCTTGTTTTTTGTTTTGTTTTTTGGTTGATCCTGGGGCTTGAACTTCCGGTCTGAGTGCTGTCCCTGAGCTCTTTCACTCAAGGCTAGTGCTCTACCAGTTTCAGCCACAGCGTGCCTGGTTTTCTTGGATAATTCTCCCTTACAATGATCCTGATTGTCACGTAAACAGCTGGCATTCTAACTTAATGTCTTTCTGTCCCCTGTCTCTTGCTCCTGCAGTTGGCCCAGTGAACCATGGAGCTGTATTTTGGTGAATACCAGCACGTGCAGCAGGAATATGGTGTCCACCTGAGACTTGCCAGTGATGAGGCCAAATCCTTAAGGAATTCCCAGCCCTCTAAGACAGGCTCGTACGGCGTCAGTATCAGGGTCCAAGGGATTGACGGCCACCCGTACATTGTCCTAAATAACACAGAACGCTGTCTAGCCCGTCCCTCTTTCCCCGACAATGGCCCATCGTTTCCATCTCCCACCATCCACACCATGCCTCTCCATGCCAGCAATGGGTCCGTACTGAAGGAGTCCGGCTCAGAACTGCAGATCCCTGAGAACCCATATGCCCAGCCCAGCCCCGCGCGACACCTCAAGCCATCCTCCCTCCACGAGGGCAAGAATGGCATTCTGGAACGGAAAGGTGGCCCGGCGAGGCCATCCCACCTCCTCAACTGCCAGAGACACCCAGAGCTTCTGCAGCCCTACGACCCCCAAAAGAGCCAACACCCTCCTGACAGCCCCTGGCTTACAAAGGTGACAACAGAAGGGACCCCCACTAAGACATCTTGGACTTGCTTTCCCCCGTGCCCCAGCCCTCCTGGGGAGGACCTGGATAAGACTGGGGTCACCGCCATCCGGCTCTGCAGCTCCGTGGTCATTGAAGATCCCCAAAAGCAGACCTCCGTGTGTGTGAATGTCCAGAGCTGTTCCAAAGATGGGGTGAGAGAGGCCTCCCCCCGCCATGGGAGCACCTCAGCTTCTCATAGCCCACAGGGCCACCCTGAAGCCAAGAAAGCCCGGCCCGATGTCCTTCCTTTCCGGCGACAAGATTCAGCAGGGCCTGTCCTGGATGGAGGCCGGTCTCGAAGGTCCTCATCGGCCTCCACCACGCCCACGTCAGCCAACTCTCTGTACCGATTTCTACTGGATGACCAGGATGCCATCCACGCGGACCACGTCAATCGCCACGAAAATCGCAGGTACATCCCGTTCTTGCCGGGCACTGGGCGAGATATCGATACCGGTTCCATGCCCTGTGTGGATGAGTTGATTGAGAAATTTGATGGGAAATCCGGGCTCCTACCGAGAAGAGGCAGGTCTGGGAAGCGAGGAAGAATCAATCCAGAGGACAGGAAGCGGTCTCGAAGCGTGGACAGCGCCTTTCCCTTCGGGCTCCAGGGCAACGCGGAGTACCTGAGCGAATTCACCAGGAACCTGGGCAAGTCCAGCGAGCACCTGCTGCGCCCGTCACAGCTGTGTCCGCAGAGGCCTCTGGCCCCGGAGCAGCGTGGCCAGCACAGCGCTATCCGGGCCGGTGCGAAGCCGCCAGCAGACCCGCAGCCTGCCCAGGGGGCACACCCCGGGCCTCCCCAGCAGCCCCCAGACAGGAAAGTGCCAGAAAACAAAGAGAGTCAGGAAAGCGTGGTGGTAACCCGTGCATCCTCCTCCCTTCCTGTGCCAAGTAAAAAAGAAGAAATCAAAACAGCCACTGCGACACTGATGTTGCAGAGTCGGGCGACGACCACCTTGCCTGACCCTGTGACCAAGAAGATTTCTGTGAAGTCATTTCCTTCCAGTACTGATGCTCAGGTAGCACCTGTGTGATTCCGGAGGCGTTGGGCTGGGGTGTAGTTTTGTTTGGGTTTGTTTATTTTGCTGTCTTGGTGCTTGAACTCTGCCCTGGGCGCTATCCCTGAGTTCTTTTTGCTCAAAGCTAGGGCTCTACCACTTGAACCACAGCTCCACCCCTGGCCTTTTTTGTGATTCACTGGAGATAAGAGTCTCATGGACTTTCCTGCCTGGGCTGGTTTTGAACCTTAGTCCTCAGATCTCAGCCTCCTGAGTAGCTAGGATTACTGGCATGAGCCACCAGTGCCCAGTCTCTAGGTTGTTTATGTTATTATTAGTAGTATTATTTAATTTATTTATTTTGTTGGTTGTGGGGTCTGAACTCTGGGCCTGGGCCCTGTCCCTCAACTCTTCAGCCCAAGACTAGTGCTCTACCACTTGAGCCATAGTGCCACTTCCAGCTTTTTCTACTTATGTGGTGCTGAGGAATCAAACCCAGGGCCTCATGCATGCAAGGCAAGTACTCTACCACTGAGCCACCTTCCCAGCTCTCTTTTGTTCTTTTATTTCAAGCTATAAGAGGCTCTAGTGATACGAACTCTCAATCTTTATTTTGGTGCTATTGGGATTAGAGCTCAAGGTTTCACACTTGCTAGGCAGGTGCTCTACCATTTGAACCATAGCCCTATTCCCTTTTTTGTTTTAGAGGTCTTGCATTATTTTCAGATAGGGTTTTACTTTTGTGTGTATGTGTGTATGTATGTATGCATGCCTGCCCATGTGTGCACACACCAGTCCTGGGGTTTGAGCACTGTCCCTGAGCTTTGTACTCAAGGCTAGTGTTCTACTACTTGAGCCACAGTTCCACTTCAGCTTTTGGGTATTGAGTTGGTGTTTAGAGTCTTAACAGAATTTTGTGATCCTCAGATCTCAGCCTCTTGAGTAGCTAGACGTGAGCCACTGATGCCTATTGGGTCTTGTATTTTTGCCTGGGGTTGGCTTCAGACTAACAGCTTCTTACCTATGGCTTCCCACATAGCTGGAATTACAAGTGTGACTCACCATTTCCAGCTTATTTGTTGAGATGAAACTCTCAGTAACTCTTTTTCCCCATGGGCTGGTCTTGAACCTGTGATCCTCCTGTATCTGTCAAGTAGCTGGGATTGCAATGGTCCCTCATTGTACGCAGCCCAGAGCCTCAATCCTTTATTGCTAATTGTTTCTGATTTTCTTAGCATTTGATTATATCCTACTGCCAATTACCTAGTTGTCGTCGTCTTCTTCTACTTCTTTTTGGTATCTTATTTATTTCTTAAAAAAAATCTGTAAGTTGATATACCAAGGAGTTGCAATTTGGCTTGTCAGTCCAATAGCATCATTTTCTAGATTATTTTCAGTACTACTGGATCCCATTATAGGACTCCAGTAATGAACATATACTAGGGCTGGGAAGGTGGCTCAGTGGTAGAGCGCTTGCCTTGCATGCATGAGGCCCTGGATTCGATTCCTCAGAACCACATAAGCAGAAAAAGCCGGAAGTGGTGCTCTGGCTCAAGTGGTAGAGCACTAGCCTTGAGCTGAAGAGCTGAGGGATAGTGCCCAAACCCAGAGTTCAGGCCTCTCGACCAACAACAACAACAACAAAAGAATAAACACTAGGGAAACAGTGTGAAAAGCTCAACTTCTCTGAAAATATATGAAACCTGGAGGTCTGGGGAATTTGATCCTCCTGATCTCCGCCTCCTGAGTGACTGGAATTTCTCAGGCGTGAGGTGTGGAGAAGCACTTTCCACACGGGCGGGCGGTCCCATGGTTAGATTTGGATTTCCACCTAAATATTTTAAGTCATGAAATTGAGTGACGAGGTAGCTCAATATCTGGTCTGAACTCTAGGCTAATCCTCATTGAGGTTAATGGTGAGTGATGGGATCTTTTAAGTGGTACTTTGAGTGTTTTGGTAGTAACCATAAAAAATAATGAGAGGATGACAAAGTCAGTTAGGTGCCAGGCTCCGAGTGTCCTATGTTAGCCAGTGTTAACTGGCTAGATGAGGGTAGGTGATGTAAGCTTTAGTTTATAGGTGAGAAAATTAAGGGGGAGGAGAAGTTAAGGCACTGGCCCAGAGTTACAGTCTAATAATCCGTGATGGAACTGATTCCTGGAGAAATCGTTTTTTTTTGGAAAGTAGAACGGGGTTTGTATGCATGTGCTGCAACGTTCTAACGTTCTGCCATCTTCCTGTATCATCACCTGTGTCTAATTACAGACAATACTTTGTTTCAGGCTACACCGGATCTCTTAAAGGGCCAGCAAGAGCTCACTCGACAAACCAATGAGGAGACAGCCAAGCAGATACTCTACAATTACCTCAAAGAAGGGTGAGTGATTCCCCTCGCTTCTTCTCCCCTCTTTTTGCAGTTCTGAGATTTGAACTCAGGGCCTCATACTTGCTAGGCAGGTACTTTTTTCTTTTACCCTATGAGCCATTCCCCTAACCCAGCCCTGTTTTGCTTTTAGTTATTTTTCAGATAGGGGCTCAAGTTTTTGCCCAGGGCTGTTCTCAAGCCTCTATTCTCTGACTTACATCTCCCATGTAGCTAGGATGATAGGTAGGTACTAGAATTGTCAGTGTGTTTGTTGAGTTGGAGGAGTCTAGTGACCTTTTTGTCCAGGATGGTCTTGAACTGTGATCCTCCTCATCGCTGTCTCCTGAGTGGCTGGTATTATAGGTGCTCCTTGATTTTCTTTTCTTTTCTTTTTTTTTTTTTGGGGGTTGGTTGTGGGGATTGAACTCTGGGCCTGGTCGTTGTCCCTAAGCTCTTCAGTCAAGGCGAGCACTCTACTCCTTGAGCCACAGAGCCACTTCTGGTTTTCTGGTGCTTAATTGGAGATAGGAGTCTCATGGACTTTCCTGGCTGGGCTGGCTTTGAACTGCGATCCTCATATCTCAGCCTCCTGAGTAGCTAGGATTACAGGCGTGAGCCAGTAGCACCTAGTGGCTCCTTGATTTTCTTCCCCAAGCTTTTGTGTTTTGTGAGCCATTTGAGGGTTCAGTGTCAGTGGCTACAGTTTTCATACTGACCTGGCTCAGGGCATGTAGGGGAGGATGTCATGCTTTGAAAATGACTCTGCTCCTGCACAAACAAGTCCAAGGACGGAAGAATATCTGCCTGTCCATTCCGAGCTGGGTCTGCCACCCTGTTGAGCTCTGCCACAGCCAGCAGCCCTCAGTTGTCTATTAGTAGAAATGACAAGTGAGAACAGTTCCGCCTCACTCTAGAGTGGCCCCTGCTTTCGTGCACGGTAACATTGTGTCTGTATTGAGGATTGAACTCAGGGCCTCAAGCTTGCTAGCCACACCTTCAGTCCATTTTGGCTTTAGCTATTTTTAAAATAGGATCTCCTGTGTATGCATGGGCTGGCCTGGACCATAGCCTCCCCATCTCTCTCTTGTCTTCTGAGTGGTTAGGATTATAAGTACGAGCCACTATACCTTGCTGATGCTTGTCTTTCTTCAGCAATGTCATCCCTGTCCTCCTCTTCCTCTTCTTCCATCCGTTCCTCCTCCTCTTTTTGGTTGTGGGGCTTGAATTCAGGGCCTGGTTGCTGTCCCTGAGCTCTTTTGATCAAGGCTAGCTCTCTACCACTTGAGCCACAGCTTCACTTCCAGTTTTTTGGTGGTTAATTGGAGATAGGAGTGTCAAGGAAAGCTGGGTGCCAGTGACTCACCCCTGTAATCCTAGCTACTCAGGAGGCTGAGAGCTGAGGATCATTGTTCCATCAGAGGATTAAAAAGTAGAAAAGAGTCAAGGCACTAGGGCTCACACCTGTAATCCTAGCTCTTCAGAGGCTGAGATCTGAGGATCATTGTTCCATCCAGCCAGGACAGAAAAGTACATGAGACTCATATCTCCAATTAACTACCAAAGAGCCAGCCAGAAGTACAGCTGTGGCTCAAGTGGTAGAGCTTTGGCCTTGTAAAAAAGCTCAGGGACAGTGCCCTGAGTTCAAGCCCAGGGCTGGTACCTCCCTCTCTCCCCTCCAAAAAGTAGCATAAAAAGCTTTACAGGTTGACATAATAGTAAGTCAGTTGACTCTCACTCCTGGCTATCAGAATTCTTTATTTTTGTATTGTGCCTTACAAATATTTGTGTAATGTATGGCTGATACATGTCAAGATGTAACACAAGAGCTCTCAAAAGAGTTAATGGCAGGGGCTGTTGGAGCTAAGCACTAGTTAGTAGTATTTTTCTGTGAAGGGCTTTACCATGAGAAGATTTAAGGTAGGAGACCTTTTAATTTTTAAAATTCTTTGAATTCTTTTCGTGTGTGTGCATGCACACACGTGTGCGTGTGCTTGGTTTATTGCAGGATTGGTGAGACAGACTAGAGTGGGAGATGCCTGTTAAAGGCATTTTATTTGAAATCTTTTCATTGCTGGAGGTGTGGTAGGAGGTAACAAAGCTGGGCCTGGTGGCTACAGTGATGCAGAGGGCCAGGCAAAGGCTGCTGTGTGAGCTGCCTTGGCACTTACTATTTTTTAGGCCTAAGCCTAAAGGTAAATTGTTACAGGTTGTTCTTATGGTAAGATTTTTTAAAGTACAGTGTGTGTGTGTGTGTGTGTGTAACACGCACATACACACACATACATAAAGAAAAGGAGAAAGCCAGGCGTTAGTGCCTCACACCTGTCATCCTGAGGAGGCTGAGATCTGAGGATCACGGTTCAAAGCCAGCCTGGGCAGGAAAGTCCGTGAGACTCGTATCTCCAGTTAACCATCAGGAAACCGGAAGTGGCGCTGTGGCTCAAGTGGCAGAGCAGTAGCCTTGAGCTGAAGAACAGCGCCCAGGCTCAGAGTTCAAGCCCCATGACCGACCAAAAAAAAGTAAAGGAGAAATCTCGCCTGTGTGAGTGCTTATCTACTCGAGTGGCTGAGATCTGAGGATGGAGATTTGAAGCCAGCCCAGGCAGGACAAGTCTGCTATCTCTGGGGGAAAGAAAACAGCAAAACCCAGCCTGGAGGCTTGATTCAGGTGGTAGAACATCAGCTGAGTAGGAAAGCTTGAGCAAGTGCAAGGCCCTAAGTTCAAACCCATTGTCTTCAAAATTTAAAAACTTTTTTTGGATCCGGTCGTGGGGCCTGAACTCTGGGCCTGGTCATTGTCCTTCAGCTCTTCAGCTCAAGGCTAGCACTCTACCACTTAAGCCACAGCGCCACTTCTGGCTTTTTAAAAAAATTTTTCTGCTTATGTGGTGCTGAGGAATCGAACCCAGGGCCTCATGCATGCAAGGCAAGCGCTCTACCACTGAGCTACCTTCCCAGCCCTTAAAAACTTTTTGAGTGAATAAGTTATGTGAATCAAATAACTAATGACTGAATTTCCTTTGTATGCTTTCTCTCAGCTTTTTGTTGTTGTTGTTTGGTTGTGGGGTTTAAACTCAGGGCCCTATTCCTAAGTTATTTTGCTCAAGGCTAGTGCTCTGCCACTTTGAGCCACAGTGCCATTTCTGGTTTTCTGGTGGCTAATTGGGGATAAGACTCTCATGGGCTTTACTGTCTGGACTGGTTTCAAACTGTGATCCTCAGATTTTAGCTTCCTGAATAGCTAGGATTACAGGCGTGAGCCACCAGCACCTGGCCAGAATGTTTCTTTCACATATTTTGAAATGAGAGCCCCTATCTCAGATTAGGGATAACATCTACCCATCTATTTGAAGAAAATTAACACCATCTAGCCTACGTTTCTCCTTCATTCCTAGCGCTTTGTGATTTATCTCAAAGGGCTTTCCTGGGTGTGAGTCCTGGCACGTGAGAAGTCTGGGCCCGCTGGCGTGTATCTCATTGGGTTCTTTGTCGTTTCCTTTTCAGAAGCACAGACAATGAGGATGCCACTAAAAGGAAAGTCAACTTGGTCTTCGAGAAAATCCAAACCTTAAAGTCTCGCGCAGCGGGGAGCACACAAGGAAATAATCAAGTAAACTGAACTTTTGCTTTCTTTTTTTTTTTTTTTCCCAGGATAACTTTAATGAGTATGGTAGTCAACAGCTTGCTTTGGGAAGGTCCCTGACAATACCTGAGCATCTGGCTCTAAGAACAGGTTGAATAACTCTACTCCTGAAACCTGAACTGCACAAAAATGCAAAACCTCAGGTGTTATATAGGCACAGCTGGGCACGAGAGGCTCTTGCCTGTAATCCTAGCTAATTAGGAGCTGAGATCTGAGAATCAAGGTTCGAATCTTTCCCACCCAGGCAAGAAAGTCTGTGAAACTCTTGTTTGTTTGTTTGTTTTGGGTCTGGTCGTGGGGCCTGAACTCTGGGCCTGGGCACTGTCCCTCAGCTCTTCAGCTCAAGGCTTAGCACTCTACCATTTGAGCCACAGTGCCACTTCCGGCTTTTTTTTTCTGCTTATGTGGTGCTGAGGAATGGAACCCAGGGCCTCATGCATGCAAGGCAAGTGCTCTACCACTGAGCCACCTTCCCAGCCCAAGTCTGTGAAACTCTTATCTCCAATTAAATATCAAAATGGCAGAAGTGGAGCTGTTGCTCAAGTGCCAGAGTATCAGCCATAAGTGAAAAAGTTAGTGTCCAGGCCTTGAGTTTAAGCCCCAGTACTGGCACAAAATAAACAAACCAAAAAACAGGCACAAAACCACACACATACACACTGTGCTTCATGCACAAAGTTATTTAAACCATTGCATAAGATTACCTTTGGGCAATATACAAGGCAGTTAAAATTCGTGGTTCTACTTGGGTTCCCAAAATATCGTGTTGTCTGTGCAAATATCCCCAAATCCAAAAATACCATCACTCTGAGATAACTCTATAGCATTTTGGATAACAGATAATCAACTTGTAATTTTAGATTGCATCCTGTTATTTTTCCCCAGAAAGTTGTTGAGATATTTTATAAGACCTGAAAGGTAATAAGATGACATAAACAGGTGGCAGAATTTAGCAGGGGAGGTAAGAGTCAGAAGAATGAAAAGATCTAGTAGATGGAATACCAAAGCATTGTCGCCTGCAAATTGGGGAGGGAAGTGTGCACCAGCTTGGACTTGAGCCTGGAGAGTAAGGACTAAGAGTGGAGTGCTAACAAATTCTTGTCCTTCTCTCCCTCCTTTCCTTCCTTTCTCCTTCCTTCCCTTTCTTTCTCTCTTTTTTTTTTTTTTGTGCTGGGCCTTGGGCTTGAACTCAGGGCTTCGGCGCTGTCTGAGTGCCCCCGCCCCCAAAGGCTGGTGCTCTTACCACTTGAGCCCCAGGTCCACTTCCAGCTTTTTCCTGGTTGATTGGAGATCAGAATCTCATGGACTTTTCTTCTCCAGGCTGGCTGTACACTGCAGTCCTCAGATCTCAGCTTCCTGAGTAGCTAGAATTGCAGGAATGACTTTAAAAAAAAAAAAAAAAGTTTAGTCAGGTGCCGGTGGCTCACGCCTATAATCCTAGTTTCTCAGGAGGCTAAGATCTGAGGATCACGGTTCAGAGCCAGCCTGGACAGGAAAGTCTGTGAGACTCTTATCTCCAATTAACCACCAGAAAACTGGAAGTGGCACTGTGGCTCAAGTGGTAGAGCACTTGCCTTGAGCTGAAGAGCGCAGGGACAGCGCCCAAGCCCAACCGGTAACAACAACAACAAAAATGTTTAAAAAAAAACACCGCTAGTTTAATTGTGCTAAACTTGACTTGCGACTCAAGAGATGTGTTTGGTTAAAAGAAAAAGCCAACTTGTATTTAATAAAAATCTAACGTAGGCATGACTTGGGCCCTGAAAGGAAGTATTTTATAGAGGAAGGCTAAAAACCTTGTTCCTTGGTCCAATACCATTTTGTGTTAGGACTCCGTTCTTCCTTCTGTGCCTTCCGTTGGATGTCTACATCAAAAGGGAGAGAGGAGATAGGATGGAACACAAAGTTTGTCCTTAGATGTGCTTTTACCTTTGGAAACTTCCTCTTCAACTTTGGATCCTTCTGTACATCAACTGCTTTTTTTTTTTTTTTTTTTTACTCAGTATTGCCCTAGCCCCCAGCTCATGATTATGCTCTGTGTGTGTACGTATACATAAAATAGGCCCTAATTAGCAGTTTTTTTTACATGTGATTTTTTTAACCAAGCATATGAATTAAAATAATAGTTTAAAAAGGAATGGCAAAGAAAAATTAAAAATTAAAAAAAAGAAAAATTAAAAGAAAAATTCCCATGGACACCTTTTACAGCTTAGTTGACAGGGAGAAACTCTCAGTCAGTCTCATGTTATATTATTACATTGTGTGATCTGCTGCTTTTTCCTTGCCCTTCATTTTGTCAAAATCTTCCTCTCCACAAAAGCATATGGCAAGAGGGAAGGAGACACTGTTCAAAAAGAAATGTACTCATTATCTGACTTAGGTAATTGCAACCCCTCCATGCATCACCTTTACAATAACATTTAGATTTTTTAAAAAAGCAGACGGTACCCCCCTAAAACAAAGGAAAAGCCGGGCGCCTGTAGCTCACGCTGTAATCCTGGGTACTCAAGAGGCTGAGATCTGAGGATTGTGGTTCAAAGCCAGCCTGGGCAGGAAAAATCAAGTGGTAGAGCTCTAGCCTTGAGCTGAAGAGCTGAGGGACAGCACCCAGACCCACAGGTTTTGAAGTGTGATCCTCACATCTCAGCCTCCTGAGTAGCTAGGATTACAGGAGTGAGTCATCAGCACCTGATACTTCTGGCTTTTTGAGGGCTAACTGAAGGTAGGAGTCTCATGAGCTTTCCTGCCTGGGCTGACTTTGAAGCTCAATCCTCAGATCTCCACTTCTTCGGTAACTAGGATGACAGGTGTGAGCCTCCAGTGCCTTGGGTTTTTTAAACAGACATGAAATGGTCACATTTGTAAAACTTCCTTTTTGTGGCTTTTGGACAGAAACGAGATTAGAGGGATATCAATTAAGCTGTTGCTTCCAGTGAGAGATGAGAAGATGAATTTACTGGCTCTGATCACAGTGCCCAATTTGAATTGCTTGCATTTTTTCCTTCCCTCATCTCTCCTCCTTCTGTTCCAAATCTGATTATTTGCTGGCAGGCAAAGGTTTTGGAGTTTTATGTCTTAGGTATTTGTTCACTGGTTGTCTTAAGAGAGAGTGTAAGAGCCTTTTCTCCATTATGGATATTGGGAAATGGCAAAGGCAAGTAGGATTTTTTTCTCTTTTTTGTTTTTGGAAATCCGCCACTGGTTGGATGAACATTTCTAAGGATTGAATCGCTCTTGTGTGCCTAAGAAGGTTGGAAATCTTAGGCGCTTGCTGGCTGGTTCTAGTCCCTTTCCCAGCAGTCAGTGGGAGGTTGCTCATTCCAGGTTTACATCACACCTGGATTCTGGGACGCTGAGCCAAGACTGTGCCTCTTGTAGCTTTAACTGATACTTTTATCTTTTCCCTTCAACTTCTTGCAGTTTTCTAATCGCTTCACTGTAAGATCTTAGCCAACTCTTTTTGAGAAAATGGAAGAAAAAAGTCATTTAAATATTTGCATTCAGATCAGGGATACAATTTTCTTATAAACTCTCTTTAACCCTCTATTGTGGAAATAAAACATCTAAAAAGAGAAAGTCACTTTATGCATATCTTTATTTACTACTCTCTTGTTAGACTATGCAGAGAGGGGGAGGGATAAACATCTCATTGGCAGTTGGGTAATGAGAGCTCAGGAACAAAGGATCTAAGAACATAAGCATGGGCTTTAGGTATAACTTCATGCAATAGATCTGTCTTCATTATATATTAATCATGATCATTTCTTGGTGTTATATTGGGGTTTGAACTCAGGGCCTTTCATTTGCTAGGCAGGTGCGCTACAACTTGAGCCACAGCTCTCCTTCTAGCTTTTTGGTGGTTAATTGCAAATAAGAGTCTCACAGACTGTCTTGCCTAGACTGGCTTCAGTGATCCTCTTGATCTCAGCCTCCTGAGTAGCTAAGATAATAGATGTGAGCCATTGGTGCCTCAATTATGTGTTCCTCTTTTTAAGATTATAGCCTCATGTTGGTTAGTTTTTCATGCATTTTGTAATAGGCTTTGCCTCAAGAGTCTGTGATGAGCTACTGTATTGTGATTAGAAGTATTATTCCAAAGATCATTTACTGGATTTTATTAAATATAAAAAAAGCATTTGTGTTTGATCTCCAAAAGTTCATACGTTCCTAAGGTAGCCATTCTCCTAGGAAATGGTGAACTGACCTGTGTCCTGCCACAAAAGGTGAAAAGCGCATTGTATGCATGTGCACATGCATGCATGTGTGTGTTTTTCCCCCTTTGAATTTCTTCATGAAAATACTTGGTTGATACTTTTTGTTGTTCCTTAACCAGTGATTTCTGTGAAGTAGAGGCTAAAATTGATTATGGAGAATCTTTAAGTTTTATTCGGAGAGCTTAATATTTCACAGTTGTGTACAGAATTTGGGCTTCTAGCAAATATAACACCTATATGAGTTTTAGTCAGGTTAGGCCCCTGGAGAAAATGATTCCAAGGCCTAAGTGATGTAAAGTAAAGCTCTCTAGCATCCTTGAGGGCCCAATGTGGTTCGTTGTGCCAGGGAAGTCAGAGAAGGTTCTGGAAGCGCTTGGCTTGGCGTTATTTCTGAGATTTATATTTTCAGGGTGGATAATTGAAAGCATGGCAAATATTTAAATTCAGACTTTTTCATATTGTCACTAATCATAGGCTTCCTCATCTGAACTCAAAGATCTATTGGAACAGAAAAACAAGTTGGCTCTAGAACTTGCTGAACTTGAGAAGCAGCTTCAACAAGAAGTCAAGGTATCTTTTCCTTCTTCCTTTTCATTTCTGTCTCTTACAATAAAAAGGTTTTAGACTTGTTGGGATTCCCAGGTAAATTGAATGCTCATTCATTCCTGCTCTCCCCCAAGGAAAACATTCCTCTCATCACTGAGCAAATTCCTATGTATTTACCTACCGCTCTCCACGTGCTTTTTTTTTTTAATGTAAACAAAGCCTGTAGAGATTATTTGCTTGGACAGAGTAAAAGAAATGCCATTGAATTCAGGCAAGCCAGTAGAAGACCAAATGTACATAGTTTGTATGTAAAGCGCCTGAATTAAGTAATAGAGCTGGTCTGTTGCTGGTGGCTCATGCCTGTCATCCTAGCTATTCAGGAGGCTGATATCTGAGGATCGCAGTTCAAAGACAGCCTGGGCAGAAATGTCCCCATGAGACTCTCATCTGCAGTGAACCACTCAAAAACTTGAAGTAGAAGCCGGGTGCTGGTGGCTCACGCCTGTAATCCTAGCTACTCAGGAGGCTGAGATCTGAGGATCTCGGTTCAAAGCCAGCCTGGGCAGGAGAGACTGTGAGACTCCTATCTTCAATAAACCACTAGAAAACTGGAAGTGGTGCTGTGGCTCAAGTGGTAGAGCGCTTGCCTTGAGCTGAAGAGCTGAGGGACAGCGCCCAGGCCCAGAGTTCAAGCCCCACGACCGACAAAAAAAAAAACAAACCAAAAAACAAACAAAAAAAAACTTGAAGTAGAGCTGTGGCTCAAAGTGGTAAAGCACTAGCCTGAACACAAAGAGTCTCAGGAAACTGCCCAGTCCCTGGGTTCAAGCCCCATGACTAAAAAAAATAAAAGTAATAAAAATAGCAGGATGAGGCTTAGCTGTGATCCTGTTCTTCCTTTGGAAGTATCGGGGGTTCATTAAGTATACAGTGGTTTAACAATGCAAGCATGAAGAGATGGGATCCCTGGGGTTTAGGAGGCAGCCCCTCTGGAGAGTGATGGTAATATGTACAGCAAAGGTGTTTCAAACCCTACGGGGGTCCACGTTAGAATCAACAGAACATCAAAGAAGAGAGAGACAGGATGAGAGCGAGCCTGGAGGAGCTTCGAGGCCGCCATGAGAGCAAGCTGGAAGAGATTGCGAGGCTGCAGAAGCGACTGGAGGAAAGTGAAGGAGAGCTGCAGAAACACCTGGAGGAGTGAGTCTTTGACTTTGACCTCTGCCCTCCTGGGATCTTGTATGGCTACCACCATGGGTTACCTCTTCCTCCTCCCAGCCCTCCACAGGTTATAGAGGCTGCTCACTCTTCCTCCCCCTCTCTCTCTCCCCTCCTTCCCTCCCTCCCTCCCTCCCACTCTCCCTCTCTCCCTCTCTTTCTCTCCTGTCTCTTCTCTTTGTGATGATACTGGGACTTGGGCACTGTCCCTGAGCTTTTCACTCAGGGCCTGGCACTCTACCACTTGAGCAACAGCTCCATTCCTGCCTTTTTGCTAGGTTATTGGAGATAAGTGGGCTTTCTTTCCCAGGCTGGCTGTGAACTGCAATCCTCAGCTCTCAGCCTCTACTGAGTGACTGGGGTTACAGTGTGAGTCACCTGTGCTCAGTTTCCTCCTTCTTTCTTGTAGCTCTTCACCTCCATCTTTATATCATGAACATGGGCTACAAGTGATGTAGAAATGAATGAGTGTGATACTGTGTTCTAGTAACTTTATTTACCAAGACAAGCATGATCTGGCTTGGTCTACAGACCATAACTCACTGGTTTAGAGTCCTGGGTGAATTAATTTTTTTTTGGTCATTTCCTGACCTTTTTCACTCTTATCCTAGGGTGCTGTGGTCTCCTACTAGGGAGACGTCTCATTTTTGCTTCATGTTCTTACCCCATGCATATTGGCCTGCGGTCCTGGGTTCTTAGCAGGTGCCAGTAGGTTGGCAACCTCTTGTTCAGGGTAGAACAGAGAATGGGAGACTCCTTGTGGCTGTAGCTGACCACGCATGCATGTGAGGCTCAGATGCTGCGCAGACAACTAGCTGAGGACGGCGGTACCCCAAAGCTTCTCTGATGGGCCTCCTCTCCTGCCAGGCTCTTCCAGGTGAAGATGGAACGGGAGCAGCACCAAACAGAGATCAGGGATCTGCAGGACCAGCTCTCAGAAATGCACGATGAATTAGACAGTGCCAAGAGATCTGAGGACAGGGAGAAAGGGGCTCTGATTGAGGTAAGGGGTTGGGGGGAAGCCCCTTCTACTAAGGGGGGGACTGGGCGGTGCTACAAGCCATTTGTGCATTTGGGCCACCTCTGTGTTTGGTACATTGTGTGGGCACATCATGTTACAGGTGCCCAATACACAGGTGCCTTGGGAAAAATTTCAGTATTCAGAAAAAAGCAGGCAGAGATCCTCAAGTAGCCAAGATGCTCAACACAGATCCAGTGGAAGTCAGTATTTGTTCCACTTGCATAGCCTTTTATGCATCCATCCATCAGTCCCTCCATCCATCTATCCACCCACCTAGCCATCATCCTTCTGTTTCATTTGTGTGCTGAACCATTTCAAGGTAAATCACGGATGATAGTGTACCTCATTCCTAAATATTGGAGCAGGCATCTTTAAAAAAATTGAGAATGAGGGCTGGGAAGGTGGCTCAGTGGTAGAGTGCTTGCCTTGCGTGCATGAGGCCCTGGGTTCGATTCCTCAGCACCACATAAGCAACAAGAAAAAAGCCGGAAGTGGCGCTGTGGCTCAAGTGGTAGAGCGCTAGCCTTGAGCTGAAGAGCTGAGGGACAGCGCCCAAGTCCAGAGTTCAGGCCCCCCCCCCAAAAAAAATTGAGAATGAGCCTGGTGCCCTTCACCTGTATATACCTGCGCGCGCACACATGCACGCGCACACACACGCACGCGCGCACACACACACACACAGATTTTCATTTCCTGGCTGATTGTTGCAAGTTGATCTCTTGAATGCATAAAAGTTTGAAAGTCACTGATTCTAACTAGCCAAAGATTTTCCTCAGAGATATACATTCCTCTCTAATGGGTGTTTACTTCTATTTTGCACTTTGTGTGGTTTTTCTGTCTTCTTGGAGTTGATCTAATTAAGCCCTGAATTAGGGAAGTCACATTTTGCAATCTGTTGTACCTTTTGGTCTCTACTCTGGAAAGCATGAAGGGCTGGGAGGAGACGTGGTAAGGTGTAATCTGATTGGACTTGAACAGCCCGGTCCACTTAAGCAACAGCCCCAGGTCCAGATAACAGCCTGTTGGTTTTAGAGTGGATCATAAACCAGCCCTCAGATCCTGACAGGCATTGGCAGTGGGCCACAAAGGGTGCCATGATATGCAGATCCATCCCAGGCAAGATAAGTGTGGGAAGAGGAACTGCCTTATCCTCCAAACAACGGAGAAAAACTGTGAGAGAAATCACAAGGGTTGCTCTGAAAGAAGACATGGGACGGGAGGCCCCAGGAAATCCTCACATCATGGTCGTTGTGGGGAGGTGCTGCTCCACCTTCTTCGGTGCCAGGTCAGTGGCTTTTTCTTCCACTGCCTGGAAAAGGGCCTGGTTTCTCTTGTTAGCTGGATGGCTGTCCTGGTGTTCCCTCCTAGCTTCTCAGTGCTGATTGGTTAGATGCAGGCTGTAGCCTTCATCATCCTGGTCCAGGGAAGGAAAGATGGCCTTGAGTTGTTTTTACATTGATGTAAGTGTTCCTGTCCCTCACCAGCGATAGGCTTCTGGTGTGGAAGGCCAGCCTATCATCTTGGAGAGCTTACACTCCCCAAGGGTAGCTGCTGCTTTGAGGCTCTAAGAGATCCAAGAGGAGAAAATGTGTTTGCATTTGGAAAACATAGCTAAGCCTGGAGCGGGTGGCTCATACCTGTAATCTCAGTGACTCCAGAGGCTGGGATCTGAGAGGATTGCAATTTGAAACCAGCTCAGGGAGAAAAGCCCACAAGATTTGTTGTTGTTGTTGTTGGTTATGGGCCTTGTACTCAGGGCCTGGATGCTGTCCCTGAGCTTTTGTGTTTAAATATGAGCACTCTACCACTTTGAGCCACAGCTCTAATTCCGGTTTTTCAGTGGTTAATTGGAGATAAGAGTCTCACAGACTTTCCTGCCTGCGTTGGGTTTTGAACTCTGATTCTCAGATCTTAACTTCCAGTGTAGCTAGGATTACAGATGTGAGCCACCAGCACTCAGCTCACGTGACTCTTAATGCCAATTAATCAGTGAAAAGCTGGAACTGGAGACCTGGTTCAAGTAGTAGAGTGCCAGTCATGAGAGAAAAAGCCGAGTAAGAGTATGAGGCTCTGAGTCCAAACCCTTGTAGCCACATGCACACATACACACTCACATATACACCAATAAAATCAAAAAACACAAATGAAGAATTCTGATATATCCAGAACCAACAAGGGCTCCTGGTACCTTTGATCCTCACATGGAATACATCAAAATCACTTCTACATTCTTCTTTCAAGAAGCCAATAAGTCTGTTTTCAGTGATAAAGTAAATGAGCAGAGCACATAGAATATAAAGTAAAAAGTGTCCAGTGTGTCAAAGGAAGAGAGAGTGCATTCCAGGAAAACTTCTTGAAGGAGGTTGCATCGGGTGTGAGCCTTCCAAGGTTTTCTGAAAGGCAGAGAGTGGTGGGGCTGGGAGGGAAGAAGGGTACCCCAGAAGTTGTAGTTTTGTGTGTGTGTGTGTGTGTGTGTGTATTGTTATGGGGGCCCCAGGTTAGAGACTGGACATTTGTACAGGGGACCAGGTATTGCAAAGCACCTGTGCAGCGGTGATTGCTGCCTAACCTGGAGAGGGGTCTAACTGGTTGCAGAACTAACTTTCTTGGCAGTAAAGGACAGGGATGAGAGAAAAGACCCAAATTACTGCTAAGTTTCTGAACTTGGGTGCTTAGAAAGCAGGTGGTTATACTCCACAAAGATCATAAAAAGTGATGCTGGATGGATTCCTGGAAGCCCCAGTCCCCTCCCACCCAAGCTCCCAGAGGGCAGAGTCGGCAGGTCGCAGCAAGGTCGCTGGGTGTGAATGGGCTTAGGGGAGGTTGGAGGCTTGCAAGACGTGGACAAGAATGATATTCAATGTCGTGAGCCAGACCCAGAGAACCAAAGGTTGCGTGGTTTCTCTCGCGGGTGGTAGATAAAATGTGCCCATAAATCTATATGTAAACATGCTAGATGACCTGCAGGCAGTTCCAAGTGAATTAACTGAAGTAGAATAGATGCTGTGGAGAGCTCGACTAGTGCAATTCTTTTTTTCAAAATGACTAAATCAAAGCACCAAGAAATGGGGACTTGCAAGAGGCAGGTGGGGCCACAGGGGGTGGGGTGGACAAGGAAGGCGGGGAAAGAAAGGAGGAGAGGAGAATGCAGTCAAGAATTCATTGTGTATACCACAAAGTTAAGCCAGTCCAGATCCAAATCCATGTGGGCTCTGGGACAGTGTGCAGTTCTTAACACCTGGCCGCACACCTGGAAGAGGGGGACCCGACCCGCAAGGACGTGTGTGTCCTGCTTCTTACTTCCCAGGCCCCTGTTCCCGTTTTAGGAACTCCTGCAGGCCAAGCAGGACCTCCAGGATCTGCTGATCGCCAAGGAGGAGCTGGAAGACCTCCTGAGGAAGCGGGAGCGCGAGCTCACTGCCCTGAAGGGTGCCCTGAAAGAGGAAGTTTCCAGTCACGACCAGGAGATGGAGAAGCTGAAGGAGCAGTATGACGCAGAGCTCCAGGCGCTCCGCGAGAGTGTGGAGGAAGCCACCAAGGTGAGTTCACCTGGCCACTCAGTGGCTGGATGGGAGAGATGATGGGATGGGCCAGCACAGGTCTCCTCCCCTACCTCTTCGCTCTGACTGTAGGGGAAACTCCATTCCTCCAGCTTGTAGAGGCTGAGCATGAGCACAAAGCTTAGTGGTTTAGTTGGTTCTCTACATTAAGCTGTCAGTGAGGTTCTTGGTCAAATGCAGAGCCTGAGATTTTGAGCTACTAAATGAACTCTTGTTTTGTGCCTGTCCTAGGGCTTGAACTCAGGGCCTTCAGTTCTTTTTGCTCAAGGCTAGCACTCTACCACTTGAGCCACAGCTCTACTTCTGGCTTTTTGGTGGCCAGTTGGAGATGAGTCTCATGGATTTTCTTGCTCCAGGTGGCTTTGAACTGCAATCCTTTGATCTCTGCTTCCAAGTAGCTAGGATTACAGGCATGTACTACCAGTGTTTGGCACACTCTGAGTTTTGCAGCCTTCGCAGGTTGAGGACCCCTATTCTCTCAGTTCTTGAAGTGTCGAAGTCTAGGGCATTGTGTATAACCACTTGGCCAGATTCCTGGGACTTGTCACCCCTGCCCTCCCTGGCCTGTTTTTTTGGAACTACGCATAGCCTTTTTGTTAGACCATTCATGGTGTTGCTCAGCAGAGTGCTAGATAATTTAATTGACTGAATTGGCCCAACTCTTCCAAGATAAATTTTCTCTTAATTGAATTCTTGGCTCTTACAAACCGTTTCAAAATTATGTTGAAGTCTTGGGGTGCAGGTCTCGTGGTAGCTGTTGAAGAGGTAGAAAATATTCTTTTGGAGAGGAAAAGGGTTTGAAATACACCATCTTTAGGGAAAGAGGGGCTTGGAATTAAGAGTATTAATGTTCCAGAGTCTTGGTAACATGAACAGTAAAAATACTGAAGTAAGGACTGTTGGCATTGTTTCTTTAAAGATCACAGGACAGCAAGAGTTCCTAGGCCCACTGATTTTCAATTATGTCACAGTAATTGCAAATGACAGGGAGTGAAAGATGGGTTTGTTTGTTATAATAATACAGCGTCTGGGAAATGGTCTGTTTGGGGTTACTATAACATTGAAGTGGCTTTGTAAAGCCTCTTGTTGATCTATTTTCTGTTTTTCCTTTCCTTTATTATTTTTTATTTTATTTATTTTTTGAAGTCAGTCTGGGGCTTGAACTCAGGGTCTGGGCGCTGTCTGCACCATGCGCTGCTGTTAAGGACAAGTCAGATAAGCACACATGGAGCTGCAATCTCCTGCCTTTCCCCCCTCCCCGCAAGGAAAATCACCCTGGACTGTCACCTGCGTGGGACACCAATGTCTTGAGCGCAAGGTCTGGTCTGGGAGGGAAAGCCAGGTGGAGGGAGGTTCCTCCACCCCCATCTGGCTTTCCAGTCCTCCTTGCTCAGTGGGTTTGGTTGAATTCCAATACTGGCAGTGGAGGAAGTGTCCTAGAGAATTCTCCTGTTTCCCTGTGGGTTTCTGTGGGTTTCTGCTTGAGTGTGTTCACAGGTAGCACAGGTGGTTTCACATGTGCATGCGTGCGTGTACTGGTCCTGGGGGCTTAAACTCAGGGCCTGGGCTTTGTCCCTGAGCCTCTTTGTGCTCAAGGCTAGTGTTGTACCCCTGAGCTTTCCTACCTGAGCTGGCTTCAAACCATGATCCTTGGATCTCAGCCTCCTAAGTAGCTAGGATTATAGGCCTGAGCCACCAGTGTCCAGCCTGAGAGCAGTTTTTTGTTTTTTTAAATATGTATCTTTAATTAAACCAAGTAAAACTCTCCTCTGGGAGATGGGCTGTGGCCTGTGTTGAAGCAGGATGGCGTTTTCTGGCTGTTGAAGTGTGGGGTTGGGGACTCACGTGGCTGTTAGGACATCAGAGCATTTTCAGGTGACCCAGAAAATCTGCAGGCAATTTCCATGCAGTGTGAAGAGCAGGTGCTGAGACTTAGTGGGGGGAAAAAGGAGGCAGGAAACCTTTGCGCTGGCCTCAGCAAGAGCCACAGCACAGCCTGGCCTGCGGCTCCCACATCTGTGCCTTAACCTACCCAGGCCTTGAGGGTCAAGGGAACAGGGTTTAACAAGCACCTCAGTTTGCTGATAAAGAGTCCTTATCAATGTCTAATCCATTGGGGAAGGATTGTTTCCAAAACAGTATTTGTAATCTCATTTATGGTTCACTGGCAGTCCTTCGTTCCTTTTTGTAAAAGCAAATATCTATGGATGAGCCTGGCACTGATGGCTCATGCCTGTAATTCCTTGCTACTCAGGAGGCTGAGATATGAGGATCGAGGTTCAAAACCAGTCTGGGAAACTCTTCTCTCTAATTAACTGTCAGATAAACAGTGGCACTGTGGTTCAAAGTGGTAGAGTGCTAGTCTTGAGCAAAATTGCTCAGGGTCAGGGCCGAGGTCCTGAGTTCAAACCCTGTGAACACCATCACCAACTACCACCACAACAACAAAAAAACAGTAGGGGGTGGAGGCATGGCTCAGTTGGTAGAGTGCAAGCCAGTGAGTGAAATCAGCAGGTAGTGAGTTCAAGTCTCAGTCTCAGACCAAAAATAAAAGCAGTAGAGAAACTGGAATGGGTACTGTGTAGCACCTACAGTAGCCAGCCTCTCAGCTACCCTCAAGGGCAATGTGCCTTTGTAGAGTCTCTTCCTGTCAAGCAGGCCTGATCTGTCTGGGCTCCAGAGTCTCATATAATAACAACGATACATCTGAAATAATGAAAGACACTGGAGGGCTGCAAATAGGGCTTAGTGGTAGAGTGCTTGCCTAGAAGGCATGAAGCTCTGGGTTTGATTCCTTAGTACCACATAAACAGGAAAAGCCAGAAGTGGTGCTATGGCTCAAGTGGTAGAGTGTTAGCCTTAAACAAAAAGCTCAGGGATGGTTCCTAGGCCCTGCGTTCAAGCCCTAGGACTGGCAAAATAAAAATAAGACACTGTAGCTTTCTTCTGAGTCTCCTTTTGTGCAAAAAGCCAGTTTGTGTGATGAAACCACACAAACAAGCTGCAGGACAGTCCATATCTTTGTGTGTTTGTTGTAGGGTTTGAGCTCAGTGCCTGGGCACTGTCCCTGAGCGCTTTCACTTGAGGCCCGTGCTCTACTGCTTTGAGCCCCAGCTCTAGCTCCGGTTTTCTGATGGGTCATGGATCTCCTTCCCGGGCTGGCTTTGACCCTTGACCCTCAGCTCTCAGCCTCCTGAGTAGCTAGCATTATGGGCATCAGCCCCCAGCTAAAGTCCGTATCTTGAGCAGACCAACTAACTGTCAACCGCTGTGTAAGGATACCATCTTGGAATCAGACCTCTCCCTGCCCCTGTTCCCCTCAGTCCAGGTCAAATTTTCAAGCGGCCACAGGCTTGGCCAGCATTTCTCCATGGTAATCTTACCAGAAACCCCAAGCCAGGGCCATTCAAATGATTTACTTTGGATTTCTTAGCTGCAGAAACTCCCTGTGAGATCATCAATGGCTGTTATTTTAGGCTGCTTAGTTTTGAAGGACATTATGATATCTGGACTTGGCCTAGGCCTCCAGTGAGTGATTTTATACACAAGCATTTATTCATCTAACACATAGCTTTAAGTTGCTTGTCTGTCTCAAGTCCCGGATTGATATAGATTGATTCAGGCACATTATTGGTAGCAGATAGATGGTACTAGAAATCATTAACATAGTGAGTAGGTGCCCTTTGAAATAATCAGATGTGGTTTGGTCAGGGTTTTTGTTTGTTTTTTGTTAGTTGTGGGGTTTAAGTTCTGGGCCTGGTTGCTGTCCCTGAGCTGTTTTCCTCAAGGATAACACTCTACCACTTTGAGCCACTGGTTTATTTCTGCTTTTCTGGTGATTAGTTGGAGATAAGAATCTCACGGACTTTCATGCCCGGGCTGGTTTGAACTGTGACCCTCAGATCTCAGCCTCCTGATCAGCTAGGATTAAAGGGATAAGGCACCCTCCGTCCAGTGGTTTGGTGAGTTTTGAACTAACTATAGAGTAAATCATGTGTTTATGGTGATCACACATAAGGATTGTAGAAATGTTTAGAACAAGCCAGAGTCAGATGCAATGGAAAAATCTTTCTGCTCAGTCATCCCTGAAGAAGGGAACCTGAATCCTTTGGCTAGTTTCAGGAAAGAGAAAAAGAGAGCACAGGGTATATTGCTTCATGGGGTGACTACAAGAACTTCCATAGTTGTGAATAAAGGAAGACCCATTTTGTCAATGGTGAGAAGCTGGGGACTGGAGAGACATTTTCCTTTCTTCAGGCCTTGCACTATTCCCCCCTCCCCTTTTCCTTCTTGTTTTATTTGTTCAGTTTCTGCACATGAGCTTGCTCAAGTGTGTGGTCCAGAAGGAACGAAAGAGCTGGCTGCATCTGGTTTTAGGGAAACTTTGAGTCCACTTCTAGTGAAAGGAGGGGCAAAGAAAAAATGGCTGGCCGTGCTTGTGAGGCGTTTTGGCATAAGACGGAACATAAAGAAGTCAAGCAAATAAATGACAGAATCCAGGTGGCGTTAGAGATGGGCCAGATGTGGCTTTTCCATCTGTGAATTGTCCCACACCCTGAAGGAGCCTGTGCCAGGCAGCACTGGCCAGATGACAACACAGGGAAGGCTGAGATGGGGTAAATTTAATTTGAAAACCCTGAGTTCTTTGTGTCTTTTGACTAAGAAGTCATAAATAGCCTCTGGAGAACAGGCAGAGGAATGGCTTAGTGCAGCCCATGTGGGAAAGTCTTTTTGTTTTTGTTGTTGTTTATTTGTTGGCTGGCACCAGGGATTGAGGGCCTCACACCGTCTCTCACTGGGCTGGTTTTGCTCCTGGCTGGTGCTCTGGTGTTCTACCACCTGAGCCATGTCTCCAGATTTGCTTTTTGCTGGTTAATTGGAGGTGAAGTCTCTCAGACATGTCTGCCTAGGCTGGCTTCAAACTGTTCTCTTCCAGGCCTCAGCCTCTTGAATAGCAAGGATTATAGGCATGAGCCACA